TATAAATTTTTTTATTTTTTTTATTTTAATTTATTAATATTATCAAATTTTAGCTTCATGATTAAAAAAATACCAATAATTTAAATTTTATTAATTCTATAATTTTATATAATTATTATTATAAATTTAATTCTCCAATAACTAATAATATTAACACATTTATTAAATTAAAATTCTTTATTTTAATTAATTTTTTTGATTTTTTTTAATAATTTTTTTTAAATAAAAACGATAAAACTTAAAATTAATTTCTAACTAAATCTTCACATATTTATGGTTAATAGTATATTATATTATTATGTTTAATTAAATTTTAAAATAAGTTCACTTAATCTTTAAACTTTTATAAAAATACTAATATAAACTTAAAATATTTATCCAATTATTAAATTATTTAAAATATTAATATAAATTTGAAATAGAAATTCAATAATTAAAATATTTTTATTTTTTTATAAATACATTGAAATACATTTTTATTAACATAAAAGTAATATATATATATATATATATATATATATATATATATATATATATCAAAAAGAGACTAAATTAATAATTAATTTAATCATTGATTATATATATAAAAGAGACTAAATTAATAATTACTTTAATGATCGAATCTAGTGACCGATTCGGTGACTAATTTAATAATTAATTTTAATTTTTTTATTCACATACTAAATTAAAAAATAAAATCAAATAATTATATTATTAAATTATTTAATAAGTTAATAAACTATTTTTTTAACTTTTTATAATGTTATTAAAATTTTTATCAATTATTTTAAATTATTAAGTAGATTTATATTTAATATATTATTAAAATATTTTAAAAAATATTTATATAAATAAAAAATTGTCACTAATTTATATATTATTTGTTTAGTGACTCGACATTTTAGTCACTAAATTAGTCACTAATTCAGTTACTTATCGATGATCTGAATTTTTTGGTTACTAATTAGAGTCTCTAACCTACCTTTTATATTCTTTTAAAGTTAGAGGTTGATACTCCAACCACTAAGCTAGTAGGATTTTTTTGATAATAATTTATAAATAAATTATATTTATATACAAATAAAAATATATATCCGTGTAAATATATAAATATAAAATATATAAATACAAATACAAATATATTTATATGTTAGATATGAGGGCGTGCTCGAGGGTGAAAGTGTATGTCGAGTGGATTTTCCAAATTTGATGTCAAATTTGTTAGTCGGTCTCTTTATATGGGTTTATAATTTAATGACAAAATATAATCTTTATAATTTATTTATATAATGATATAAAATAATTTTTTCTTTATTTATTTTTATTTTATTTTAATTTATTATTTTTATCTTTTTTCTTCTATTAATTAATTAAAATTCTTATATTAAAATAATTTTTTAAATATTAAAAATAATTAAATATTTATTTTTAAAATTATTTAATTTAACAAACTATTATAAATTAATCTAATTATGATTATTAATATAACAATTTTTTCCTAACATATATTATTATAAATTAATCAAAATCATCTTTTAATAATTATTTTTTCCACACATAGATTAATTTATAATAATTTGTTAAATTAAATAATTTAAAAAAATAATTTTGAAAATAAATATTTAAGTATTTTTAATAATGGAAAAATTATTTTAATATAATAATTTTAATTAAATAATAGAAGAAGAAAAAGATAAAAAGAATAAATTAAAATAAAATAAAAATAAATAAAGAAAAAAATTATTTTATATCATTATATAAATAAATTATAAAGATTATATTCTATCATTAAATTATAAATCCATATAAAGATACTCGCTTACAAATTTGACATCAAATTTTGAAAACTCACTCGACACACACTTTCACCTTCTAGCGTGGTCCCGATAATCGAACATATAAATATATAAATATATCAAAATATATAAATATATCAAAATATATAAATATATTTGTATTTATATATTTTATATTTATATATTTACACGTGATATACATTTATTTGTATATAAATATAATTTATTTGTAAATTTTTATTAAAAAATTATAACAGTTTAGTAGTTGGAGTATTAGTATCTAACTCTAAGGTACTGGTTTTGAATCTTATTAGTGATAATTTTCTTAATCTGATAACAAAAACTTTGTTAATAAGAGAAATTATATATTTTTGTGGTAAGACGATGAGATTTTTAGGTTAAACTAAAATTAGGGCAACTAAGTTGTTGTTATGGACTAAAACCCAAAAAGTAAAAAATAAAAAAATATAATTAAATAAAAGAAAAAATATATACTTTTGTATTTTTATTTTCAAATATTAGTTTTTTAATGAAATTATGTTTAATTAAAGTGATATATATATATATATATATATATATATATATGAATTTTTTTATTTTAATTTATTAATATTATCATATTTTAGCTTCGTGATTAAAAAAAGACCAATAATTTAAATTTTATTAATTCTATAATTTTATATAATTATTATTATAAATTTAATTCTCCAATAACTAATAATATTAACACATTTATTAAATTAAAATTCTTTATTTTAATTAATTATTTTGATTTTTTTAACAATTTTTTTAAATAAAAACGATAAAACTTAAAATTAATTTCTAACTAAATCTTCACTGATTTATGATTAATAGTATATTATATTATTATGTTTGATTAAATTTTAAAATAAAATCACTTAATTTTTACACTTTTATAAAAATACTAATATAAACTTAAAATATTTATCCAATTATTAAATTATTTAAGATATTAATATAAATTTAAAATATCAATTCAATAATGAAAATAATTTTAATTTTTTTATAAATACATTGAAATACATTTTTATTAACATAAATATATATATATATATATATATATATATATATATATATATCAAAAAGAGACTAAATTAATAATTAATTTAATCATTGATTATATATATAAAAGAGACTAAATTAATAATTATTTTAATGATTGATTTAGTAATTTGGTGACTAATTTAATAATTAATTTTAATTTTTTTTATTCACATACTAAATTAAAAAATAAAATCAAATAATTATATTACTAGATTATTTAATAAGTTAATAAACTATTTTTTAAAATTTTTATAATGTTATTAAAAAATTTATCAATTATTTTAAATTATTAAGTAGATTTATATTTAATACATTATTAAAATATTTTAAAAAAATATTTATATAAATAAAAAATGGTCACTAATTTATAGATTATTTGTTTAGTGACTGAAATTTTAGTCACTAAATTAGTCATTAAATATAAAAAGAGAAATCAGTCATTGATTCAGTTCCTATTAGTAACTAAATTTTTCGGTCACTAATTTCGATCACTATCAACCATTTTTCTAGTAGTGACCGAATCAGTGATTGATTTGGTGACCGAATTAGTGACCGATTTACGTGATCTGAAATTTTAGTCACTAAATCGAGTCATTGATTCAGTTATTATCGATGATCTGAATTTTTCGGTCACTAATTTCGATCACTATTAACTATTTTTCTAGTAGTGAGTAATGACATTGATTCGAATAGTAACAAATTACAAAATTTGTAATCTTCAATATCAAGAAAGGGATTTTTTGTGAAATAAGAATAATCTCAAACTTGCATAGTGGTTGCAATGGAACAGTTTCTTGCCAAAGTTAATGGAAATTAAAGATACCCATTTTCTAAATCATTTTTTGGAAGCGAAGAATGTTCTTGATTCTTGACTTCACGATTTTGTGGTTCTATATTATTTTGTTTTGCAAAAAAATATTATTAGCTCTTTCGATTGTGAACTTACTAAAAAAAATCACTATTAATTTTAAATATAATTTATTTCTTTTACACTGTCAATCAATTAAAATCAGTATTGATATATTTTTTAAAATAATTATTATAAAAGTTATAAACTCTTCATTTGTAATAATTGGTGATGGAATAACAAAATATTTCACCTGAAGCCGCTAGTTTTCTTATATTATAAATTTATATTTTTTATAAATTTAAATTTAAAAGAAAATCTTAATTTAAAATATATTTAGAATTGAAGTTCTCCTCTCTCCTGTCCTTAATATAATGCACTTGTAACAAAATCATACTATACATATATCAATAAAAATAATTAATTCAATTAAATTTTAAAAAATATTACAAATATACTAAATTAATTTTCATTATTAATGACTTTTAAAGTCTTCTTCTCACTATTCATTGAAACAAAATGCAAATATTCGTAATACTTAATAGAATTAATAAAAGGAAACAAATATAAAGTTATATAAAAATTATAAAATGACTTTTTAAAACGTAATTTAAAAAAAAATTATCAAATAGAGATTGAAAATTTATCATATAAGTGTCAGATCGATGCAACAAATTTCAATTTTAGTTTTATACATCCATTGAGAGAATATGAAACATGTTGGGAAAGAATAACTTTTTAACTTCTGTTTTTTATTGCTTGCAATGATTAGTTTAATTTGATTCCATAGTTTTTAAACTATACATAAATTGATAGTTTTATCAGCTCTTTATATTCACAAAATCTCTAACTACTTCATCTCTCAATCTCACTTGAAAAATATATTGTGAAACCCTAAAATCTCTACCACTTTCATTCTATACCTAATTTGTAAAAATATATTGTTCATAAACTCCCAAAGTCTCCTTCTCATCTACAATCTTATTCTAAAAATATATTATTTCCTGCATCAATTTTTCATAGACCCAAAGTTTCCTTCCGCTCTCGTTATCCATCATATTATAAGAATATATTTTTCCTTCATCAATTTTTCAGAAAGTCCCAAAATCTCCAATAACCCTTCATCCTCACTTTACTGTAATATTATACTGTTTCTTTCATCAATTCCTATATTCACAAACTCCATCAATTTCTCCCTCATTATTGTAAAAATATATCTTGTTTCTTTCACCACTTTATATATATTTATAGAATCTACCATCACTTTGTCCCTCAATCATTTTTAAAGATAAATGGCTATTCGAACAAATCCCACGCAAGCAGTGTCTTTGCTGCTGAAAAGCATGAGGAAAGTAGAAAAAGATGAGGATTTGAACGATTTGAAATCTGACTTGATCAAGATAGAGGACCTGTTTGCAAAAGTTAAGAGAAATGAAGAAGAACTCCTAGACACCTTAGCGACCCTAAATGGATATCTTCACAGTTCCGACAGAATGAAGTTGAGGAAAAAGAAGGAAGATATTCGCAAGAGAATAGGGGATTTAACCAAGAACTTGCTTCCAGATGATGCTCCACGAAGTAACAAAGGATTTCCTCAGTCATCAAGCAAAACATTTCAAAATGAGAAGCTCAACAAGAGAAAAGTTGATCATAGAGCACTCTTTTGGAGCCAACTTCAAGACTTGGAAATGCTTAGGGCTGATTATAACTATCTTTTTGATCCTTGTACAAGGCAATGCTTCCATTCTCTCTCACTTTTCCCTGAAAATGCTGTTATAAGGAAATGGAACACAATTTACTGGTGGTTTGGAATTGGTTTCATCAAAAGGATGCAGAAAGAAGGTGAGCAAGTGTTTGATGAACTTTTGAAAGGTAATCTAATTGTTCCACATGGTAATGGAAATTGCCCTATTGTGAAAAAATTCGAAGTTAATCCTTCCATCCGTCATAAGTTTTTGAGTCCATTGTTACAAAATGAAAACCAGCTTTGTGGGATTTATTCACAAATGATAACCTCATCTCATCATGAGAATCACGCTGAGCATGTTTCTAAGCTTGGTTGTTTAGCACTTGACCAGCGAAAGGTTAAATTAAGCGCTGTGAATGGTTTTAAATCTAACCATTGGAGATCTGTGTTTAATGTTGGTGCAAGTTATCTTAACTTCGGGCCACAATGGTTGGCCAAAATGGAAAAGTTAGAGGTGCTTCATCTTGGTCGTTGGCAGGATTCAGCTTTACATCACATTGAAGTGGAGAGTGAAGAATTTCTGAAGGAGCTGAGGGATCAGAAGTCTTTGAAGTATCTTAACCTTCGCGGTATATCAAGAATTTACAACCTTCCACCCACCATTGTTAAACTTGAGAGGCTTGAAATTCTTGATCTCAAGGCCTGTCACAATCTAGAAACCCTACCTAATGATATAGCACCATTGAAAAATCTCAGGCATTTAGATTTGTCTCAGTGCTACTTGTTGGAGAGAATGCCAAATGGGATTGAAAAGCTGACCAATCTCCAAGTCCTCAAGGGATTTGTAATAGGTAGTGCTAGAATGACTCCATGCAGATTATCAGATCTTTCAAATCTGAAGAAACTTGAGAGACTCAGCATACATATAGGAATTGAGGCTATGATCCAAGAACATAAATTTGAAAGCTTGAAAGAGTTGTTAGAACTTAAGCATCTGAAAATATCATGGGGTGTGTTTGGCACAAAGCACAGTGATATTCAGATTCTTTTCCCTTCAAGTTTGGTGAAGCTGCATCTCGAAGGCTTTCCTGGACAGAAACTTCCAGAGTGGTTAAAGCCTAGCAAGCTACATGAAAGATTGAATGAGCTATATATAATAGGAGGAAAACTTGAAAGCATAGATCATGGTGAAAATAATAAACACTGGCCTATGGAGATCGTGCGCCTCAAATACTTAAACCGTTTGAATGTTGATGAAACAAAGTTGAAAGTGTGGTTTCCTGCGCTGAATTATGCAGAAATAAGAAAAGTACAAAACCATTCATACTTTGAGTGGAGCAATATTAGTTGATGTTTAGATTACTCAATTGTATTTACAAAAGTCTATAGGAATGTGGAGACACGTAGTAATAAGTATTGTTTACGAGTGTGTTAAATGAAAATAAGGAATTTCTCATAATTGATTATTTGTCATACTGAAATTACAATATTTTATTTAAACATTTACCAAGACTTCTAGAAATCATAACATTAACTCTCAAGAAACCAAAAAATCTCACAATAATACTTTTCAATAACAAAAATTTATAAACGCTCAACAACTTTTTAACTATGAGATAAACGTTCTACAACCAATTATTAATTTTATTCTAACAAAATCTCCTCATAAAATTAATTCTCACAGTTAAAAAACTTGATTTGACTAGCTTTAAAACATAAGATTAGCTTGATTTTGACCTCTTGACTCCCAACTATCCTAGCTTCAAAAACATCTCTTTTCTTTTTATTGATCTCGGTCCAAGACTGATATGAAAATGCTAACTTAATGTATACTTGCTTTACTCCAACGTCTCGGTCTTATCTTTCATCTTTCTTAAGCACCTGCTTCACGCCAATAGACCGATCATAGCTCGGTAAATTGGTCATCACAAATTAGGCATAGCAACAGGACGGGGCGGGGGCGGATTTTGCCACCCCGATCCCTGCCCCCAACTTTTTTAACCATCTCCGTCCCCATCTCCGATCCCCGTCAGGGTTAGAAATTAAGTCCACAACCCCGTCCCCGCCCAGTCCCCGTCCCCGATCTATATTATTTTTGAAAAGATAATTATATTTATAATAAATTAATTTTACTATCTATTTTTTATATATAACTAAATATTTATAATTTTATAATTTATAATTATTATTATTTAAATATACATTTTAATTTATTATATTTATATTAATATATATATATATATATATATATATATGTAAAAGAAATATTTAATCATTTTTTATTTATAATAATATTATTATTATAACACTGTATTGAAATATTTGGATACTTATAACATTATTATTATAATACTGTATTCAAACATTTGATTATATATATAAATTAATTCATTTTTAAGTTGTCATTTAAAAATATGAAATATATAGTTTATAAGGAAATATTTAATAAGTTAATTCTTATATAATTAGTTCGAAGTAATAAAAATTTAAATTATTAATTCCTTTAATCCTTTAAAATACAATTATTTTATTAAGATAAAATTTGATATATAATAAATAAGAATAATAAGATAAAAAATATGATATAATAAAACCTAATAAATATAAATTATAAATAAAATAATATTAGTCACTACTAAGATTTATGTAAAATATTTAGAAAAAGATAAAGAATAAAAAAATTAACTTTGTGTTCATCAAATTTGTTGAAAAGATTGAAAAAAAAAACAAATTGACTGGGAGAGATTAAGGAAATATGAAAAACTGAAAGATAAGAGAGAATAATGTAATAAATTAATTGATATAAAATATTAAAAAGGACAATAAAATTAAAAAGTGGGTAGAAGAAAAATAAAAATGGGTGAAATATAAAAAAAATGATCTTATATGTAATAGAAAAAGAAAAGGAAATACTTTTAAAATATTAATATTTTAAAATTTAAATTTAAATATAAAGTCGGGGCGAGGACGGGGTCGGGGTCGAGGTGGGGATTGCATTACTCATCCCCGCCCCCGCCCCCGACTTTTTATAGCGGAAAAACCTGAACCCGCCCCCGCCCCCATCCCCGGTCAACTTGGGTTTTCCCGTCAAACTCGAGGCGGGGACGGGTCGATCCCCACGGGTACGAGTTTAATTTTCATCCCTATCACAAATGTGTCATTGTGTTATTTAACTCGGCTCTTCTCTTCTATAACAACTCGGATATTCTCTTTAAAATTTCTTTGAAGTGGGGTTCTCACCTTTTTATCAACTACTCCTTTGAAAACACTCTCCTTCATGTCATTCACCTTCTTACCAATCTCTTCTTTGCAAACTCTGACAATAGTTGGTGGCATATAAGCTCAGTCTCCTTCCGATTTGACAATAACTACAGGTGCAACAAGTTTCCTTACTCGGTCTCTTTCACTTGCATCACCAACTCAAATACTATCATGATTATCATCATGAATCAACTCGGTTCAACAAAATGCATGTGAGCAAATCGATAATTTACCTTCAAGGTGTCTTCTACATTTGATTTCAGATTCCTCTCCCGAATACTTCTCAGCTACAACTTGTACATCCTATTATTTCCCATCTCAACTCAGGCAACCAACCTTCCAAACTTGTTCTTCAATTAGAGCATTCGGTCTTTCATGAAACTGTGTGCCCCTTCTCCATCCATTGTCCCATACTCAAAATGTTACTCTTTAGATCTGAAACATAAAACACATCTTGAATTGACCTAACTAGGTAATCTTTCTGTAAGTAACAAACAGTACCTCAGCCTTTTACTAAGACCTCTGAGTCATCCCCAAATGACACATGATATCTTCCACAAATTTCTCCAATTTGATGAATAGGTGTTCGTCCCCACACATGTGATTACTTGCACATATATCTAAAAGCCATACTGACTTGTGATCGGTATCTTTCCGAACCTTTTCACTATAAATTCCCGTGTTGAGATCGGTCATCAACAATGTTACTTCAATTTCCTTCTCATTTGCAAGATAGGTCTCATTCACCTATTGACATTCTTTCACATAATGTCCCTCCTTTCCATAATTAAAACATTTTCCTGAGTAGCAATCCTTCGCATAATGGCCATATTTGCCACATTTGAAACACTCGACATCTGAGTGGTTCGTTGACCGACCTCCTCTTTGTCCTTCACGTCTTCTTCCTCACTAGTTTTGTTAAGTCCTCTCTTCCTTCTCCTCACCTGGTCCACAAAATCCAGATCGTCCAGATCAACCATCCCGGGACCGATCACCACGTCCTCTTCCTCTATTATTATGATAATAAAGCGCCTTCTCCTCATTTTGGAGCAGTTTCTCACATGTGTACTCATCTTCCTTATCTTTCTCCATTCGGTATTCATAGGCTTTAAGAGACCCAATCAATTCTTTTATTGAAAACTCGGACAAATTCTTCACTTGTTCTATCGCATACACCACGTTGTTAGAAGATTTTATTAAAGACCTCAAGATCTTTTCAATGATTTGTTATGTGGAAAATACCTCTCCGAGAAACGAATGGTGTGAAGAACTTTGATTCAGTTAAGTTTAATGTAATTTTTTATTTGGCACTTTATTCTGGCAATTATTGAATTTAATTAAAAATACTTTGTTTTAATTTTATAAATTTCAGTCATTTAAATTCTGATTCAATTTAATTTTAATTATCATTATTATTCTACTCGCAACTTAATTTTAATTTTATTATTCTGCATCAATTTATGTTTTTCACTCCTTCATCAAACCCCTATTTACTACTATTTATTATTTTTAGAGAAAATGATGTGTAATAATAAATATGTTCTTATAATTATTTCCTTGTGAGATTCAACACGGGTTAACTATACTGAATTAGTTTAACAACTTGTTTATTTTTTTTATCATTATTTTGTGCGACCAGAATGTTGTCGCCATATGTCATTGTCCATTTCTATCCTTGTGACACTACATTCAATTAGTTTTGGCGAATCTTTTACTCTTCTCCAAACTTGTGACACTACATTCAAATAATTTGTATACTATACTATACTAATATATTATTTGTATACTATACTAATAGTATAATATACTATATTATAATATTATTTATATACAAAACTAATATCTTTATATCTTTATATATAAATATATAAATATGGAAAGATATAAATATATGTAAAAATATAAAGATATAAATATATAAATATGTAAAGATATAAATATATATCTTTAATATTTTGTACATGTAAATATAATTTATATATTTTTTTAAACCTTTTTCTAATATTTGTTTTTAAAAATAAATATTATTTTAAAATTTAATATTTAAATTTTTAATTTTTTTTAAATATATAAATATATAAAGTTATAAAGATATAAATATATAAAAATATAAATAAATATATTAATATATAAATATATAAATATATATAAATATGTAAATATATAAATATATCGATATATCAATATATTAATATATTAATATATTAATATATAGATATATAAAAATATAAAGATGTAAATATATAAATATGTAAATATATAAATATAAAAATATAAAAATATGCAAATATATAAATATATCAATATTTAAATATATATTAAAATATATAAATATATTTGTATTTATAGATTTTATAAATATATAAAGATATAAATATATATATATATATATATATATATATATATATATATAAATATATAAATATATGTAAAGATATAAAGATATAAATATATGTAAAGATATAGAAAGATATAAAATATAAAGATATAAATATATAAATATATAAATATGTAAAGATATAAATATATATATTTAATATTTTGTACATGTAAATATAATTTATATATATTTTTAAATATTTTTCTAATATTTATTTTTTAAAATATAATATTATTTTTAAAATTTAATATTTAAATTTTTATTTTTTAAATATATAAATATATAAAGATATAAATGTATAAGGATATAAATAAATATATCAATATATAAATATATCAAAATATAAATATATAAATATATAAATATATAAATATATCAATATATATAAATATATATATATATATATATATATATATATATATATATCAATATATCAATATTATCCCCTCATATATTATTATACATTATTAACGTAATTTTAGTTTAATTAAAAATTAGAATACAAATATATTATATTATATTAATATATCATTATATTATAATATTTGTAAATTATTTTTATTGTGTATAAATTACAAAACTAATAATTTTTAAAAAATTTAATGATAATATTTTTAACTTATATATTACAGAATATTTTTTAATACTTTAATAAATATAATTTTTTTTAAATATTTTCATTAATTTAAAGTATAACTTTTAATATTTTT